TTTGCATCATACTCGGTTACATAATAGTTCACACCTGCTCAGATGCATTACGTCATAGGGGTGCACGACCGTGCGGGGTGCACGACCGTGCGGGGTGCACGACCGTGCGGGGTGCACGAAATTTTATAACCCATAACTTATAATATAACTTATAACTTTTTTTTTTTTTAAGTTATAGAAAAAATGGCAGCATGGCACTAATCAAATTTATACCGATACCTTCCAAATTTGGCGACTACGTCACGATTTGTATACATCAAATCAACGCACAATATTAAATATTCGTTAACAAGAGCCATATACGTTTTGTGTTGCTGAAGTTTGTTGTCACAGGGTATGCGAGTCAAAACGAAATATAATATGCATTATTACTCATATACCCGCTACTGAATATTTGTTTGCCATTATACACATGTTCAGAGAATAGGTAGCATGGTCAGAGATAAGTTGAGTAAATCGACAAACTGGTATCGTCCATAAAGAATGTTAGTTAATTATAGTTAATGACCACGCTATCAAACTTTTACTGTTAGAATAAGCAATACATGTAACTGTATAATGATCATATCATGTGAAGAGTATGGAGTATTTAAGTATTAATTTTGTAATAGAAGAGCAGAGAAGATACGTTCTGTTGATTGTTAACTCGATCATTTCAACGAACTAATTATAATCGCATATATGATATTCTCTAAATCATACAAGCTACAAAGCACCACCTTGCGCAGGGTGCGCCTTTTTTGGATGTTGTCTGAAAGTTACAATGCAATGTGTGACGAGCATAAAATTAAGAAACGTCGTATTCAAAAAATTATCAAATGATAGACATTTTTGTAATTGTATTTTATCATACATTATCCGGCATTTATGTGCCCATATATTTTTGTATCAATAAAGCTGGCCCCAGTGGCTCGATTTCGTATAATTGATCGTGTTTACTTTTGCATGTGTATTTCGGGATTCGCATTGTATTGATACAGATATATATTAATCTGCATATATGATCGTGAATTTTTTTTAAGCGATTTACCGCAAGACCAAAAGTACACATTACTGGTTTTTTTTTTTTATAAATTCGCTTTTAAATACGTATAAGCAATGGCAAACAATCAACTTGCAATCAATTCCTTGAGAGTATTGGAAGAACATTAAATCAGAATCACGAATCTAGAACAGATCGGCTGTGAACAAGCTGAATTTGGAGTATCTAAAAAAAAATCGTAAATTCCAGAATAAATGTATTCAGATAGCTATGGAAATTTTTGATGAGGGACCAATAATTGAGTATCGCTCTCCCTTTTTGAATGGGTTAGAACTTGACGCCTTTTTTAGAAAACATCGAATCGCATTAGAAGTTCAAAGAGCTCAACATCGGCTTCATAATACTGGTTGGTATAGAGACGTTAAAAAGCTCGAAGATATTGTTAATTGCGATTGTCTAAAAAGATACATGTGTCAAGATAATGGAATTATCCTACTCGAGGTATGATGAAAAGCCAGAAATCATTATTCCGGAAAGAATACAAAAAATCAAGTGTTTTGTTAATCAGGCATCCAAAATTTTCGATCTATAAGTCAATTCATAATACAGTCAACTCTGTCTATACCGGCACGAGCATTTTGGCAGTTTCTGGCCATTATAACGAGAGACTGGTATATAAAACTGTTACACAAGTGGGAAATCGTGTAACCAATAATTAATAATTTATCTTGAGTCTGTTTCAAATAATTTATCTTTTCTTTTTCCTATATCATGCAGTCATCGCTTGCCATTTTTGTTGTCGATTCTTGCGTAGTTGAGCAGCATGATCGTCCTCATTTATTGCAAGCCACTTTCCGCTTTCACGGATAACATCACCAACGGTGCTAGTATAAGTACTGCAACCTAACAATTCAGCGATTTCTGCATTAGTATTAGCAAAAGAAGGATTTTTTAGTTTAATTTGACAATTTCTTTTTTCTGCAACCCTGTTAATGAAGTTCTAATGCATTTAGGTGTCTCTATGTCTGTATTAAAATTTTTGGCAGAGATTCTCTTGCGTGGCATGGTAATAATTGTGAGCTGATGCTGAAATCCGGCTGAAGCTGAAACTAACCAATGGGGTTAGAGAATAAAATCTGATCAACCAATGAAAGGTCATGGTTTCAGCTTCAGCTGGATTTCAGTATCAGCCGCGACACTTATATACAAATAATCACTTGACTTCGGTATAAAGTAAATCTTTTTAAGTAAACTGGTCTACATGATTTTGTGTAACTTGTGCATAAATAGAGTTATTAAGATCTGCCATTATAAGGGGTGAGATTAATATGGAATTTTTTGGTTCAGCGAAATTGAACTGACTGGTATAAAGGCAAAACCGGTATAGACAATGCCGGTATAGACAGAGTTGACTGTATATAAAACTTAATATGCATATCTAAATCGCAGACAAGTGTTTAATATATACCTCATAATTTTATATAAATACGAAAGACCCGAAGCCTTCGCAAAGTAGTCTGAATTTCGATTTTTTTCGTCCACATATTTATAGCAATTAAAATTGGTGATTATTTTTTTAACACACTATAAAATAACTCGGTATGGTAAAACTTTATTGTTTGCATTACAATTGTTACATTCATAATACTAATACTGTATATAAAAAAGTGTAAAACATTAGGATCACGACGCGTGCCACAAAGTCAATATTAACTACTATTCTCAATTTCGAATAATGTACAAATAAATCTATCATCTATCCAGCTATTTCTGCCTCTCTCCCTCCTCCTACCATACTTAACTAATTGGCCTTTTGCCACATTCTTTGTTGCACCTCTGTTTCTCTGACAAGAGTCAGTTGTATCATGTTAAAATTAGCTATAGCTGATATCAGTAGTTAAGCAATAAAGTCTTATAAAATTGAATAATGTACAAATACAGAATAAAAAAATAAAAAAGATTATGCATTATCTTGTTCACTTAAAACTAGTTGTTGAACTTGATACAGGTCAATAATAAAATTAACAGATGCAGTTTCAGTTGCAAGAGGATTAGGAACAGCTGGTACATACTCAACTGCAGGCGGAAGTGGAAGTACTGGGTCCCAAAAGACTTGTGCAATTGGGATAATGACTTGATATTGAGGGAGGTTGGGTGCATTACAGGTAGTAGGAGTTTGTTTTTTTCGAATAAGTGTTCCAAACTGCCACTAAAAGTATTTAAAAGTTGTTAGATTATTTAACTATTAAAATATAAATTACAGACTTGCTTCATACCTCTTGGTACCCTGCTCCCTGTTTCCATAATCTAGCTGTCATAGATCTATGATATTGCCCAAGATCATTTTTTCTATTTCTTTTTTTGTGTAATTTAATTCCAAGTACATATCATATGTAAATTTGATTCATCCATAATTGGCACTTGTCATTCCATTCTTTAGTGGATTGACCGTTGCCTACTTCACAAACGATTCGTGCATGTGGCCGACCCTATGTTGAAAATATTAACTTTAGAAAATCAAACGACAAATATGTTCATGTGTAAAAAATAAAAATACATTTTTGTCTCCTGGAGGAGGACCTGGATATGGAATACGAGGCTGTTGGACGTGACTTGCATTTGGATATACCGTAACATCTGATGCAATCCATTGGCCGTTTCCAGATGGACTAAAATGAACTGAGAAAAGTATTAATTTCGAAGGACAATTATGGATCAAAAAGTCAAATAAGTTAAAAGAATTACTTACATTCATCATTACCAACGACTATTGGGGGGTCATAATCAAAGTTGGCATTGGGGGCATTGAAACGACGTTGCAACAACGAAGCAACTAAACTATGTTCGCGTTCGCTCACGTCAATTATGAATACGTCACCATTATCTCTTCGTTGATATTTATATCCAGAAGACTCTTGACGTTCAAGGAATTTATTGTATTCTTTTATCGTTACGTTTGAGCTGATTTTATAAGGTAAACTGAAAATTCATACGAGTAAACACTAGCAGATATTGAGTGTTTTACACCTGATGCTCACTTACCTGTCCTCTTTTAACGGCTGATCCGGAAAATGAGGGCTGTTTGGAAGTAGTTTGTTTATAACTTTCTTCATTACTGAACTGGAGATTTTTGAAATCAAACAAGTTGGGTGTGATATACGTGGGGGTGCTGAAAAGTTTTGTCGCCGGGGTTATATGTCAATGATCAGCTGACCGATCCAAAAATGGAAGTA